CAAAGGCATTAGGTGTATGCAGCAGGTGGGGTCATGTGGATGTGGGTGTGGAAGGGAAAGTTGAGCTTGAGAAATACAGGTCCTGGAGCTTCCATAGGAAGAAGAATCATATGAAAAAAGGTACGAACATGCTGAATTCATGGGGTACGAAATCGGAAATCCGAGCTTCGCGGAATGTGAACAAAACTATAAGAAATATGAAATATGCTGCTGTTTTTGATTTGTTTGTTATGTTTTCGTTCTTTTTCATATGTTAGTCGTTCTAACAAACCATAGAAAAACAAAGTAAAGACATCGCAAAAAAATACAGTAAGACATATGCTGTTTCGGATTTGTTCGTACTGTTTTTGTACTTTTGTGTATGCTATTCGTCATTACAAAACATAGCAAAGCAAAACATAAATACATCAAACATGAAAATGCAATGAGACACATTGTTTTTCGGATTTGTTTGTATTTTTTCGTACCTTTTTGTATGTTATTCATTATTACAAAATACACAAAAACAAAACACACACATATATCAACATGATAAATACATTATGCCAGCATAGACCCCAAACAGTTTCAGCATGTCTTTTTTGCGGCAAGTCCTTGAAATCCAATGTTGGTGGTATAGAATTCGCCAGCGCGGCCAGAGGACAGCAGGAGGACAAGAGAAGGACCCAGCGATTGCAAGTGTGGCACGAAGAGAGCAGGAGGACACATCAGGAGGACATCAAAAGGACAAGAGGAGGACACAGGGTTCGCAAGTGTGGCACGAGGACAGCAGGAGGACACCATCAAGGACACAGGGTTCGCCAGCGCGGCCAGAGAACGGCCGGAAGATGAGGACAACTGGAGGACAAGGAGAGGACAACAGGAGGACAACACCTGGACACAGGGTTCAGGGGTGTGACCAAAGACTGTGGCCAGCATTTTTCCTAAGAGAGAACCCCAACAGCACACTGTTTGGGGAAAGGAAGCAACGAAAACAACACAAAGCAAGGCAGCAAGGAAAAGAAGACAAAGCAAGACAACAACTATGACTTGTATCTAAGTGTTTGTATTTCTTCGACTTCTTGCCAAGAATCTACAACATGTGAAAAAATACAGCGTTTTTCGTATATCGCAGGTCTTGTGCATAGCTTCAGACTTTCTTTGTACTTCTGGTCACCTTCAGTGATCTTTCAAGTTTAAGGGGCAAGTGCAACCTTTTCCCGTGGCTGGCTGGCATGTGAGCCAGTACTGTGTGTTGTGTTGAAGAACGCCTATTAATTCAGGTGTGTTGCTGGAGCGTAGTAGTCGAGAATGCACTTGGTGACAGTGGATGGTCATCAGCACAGTGGGGCTCTTCCAATCCCTACAACGCTGCAAAGGCATCTGAGCAGGGCTTTGCACCGGCGGACACCGAGCTGGGGACGGCCTATGCGCAGTGGCTTGGCTTGAAAAGATGTATCAAAGCATTCTCAAAACGGCCCTGATTCCCTTTCATGCTGGCAGCGAATGAGCATCACCATGCTTGGGGAGTACTCGGACAATTTGGAACCTATTATGTTGCTACGGGGGCACTTTGTGCCCAAGGAACACGGCACCCAGCACGGAACCGGCAAGGACAGGGTCTGATGTCTTTGAAACATAGAGGTCTCCAGCAGTCCAGAAAGTCGAACGCAATTTGTGTTTTGACTCACTAAAATGGAAACTCAAAACCATCTGTTTGCAAAGGAAAGTGGTCTTTCAGGGGGCCTATTCTGCTCCAGTTCCATTTTTGTGAGTCAGAGTCAGAGTGTAGCACTTGTGGTTTGTTTGGGATGCCAATGCTAAGGGGGATGTTTGGCTTGCCACAAGACGTGGAAAAAGCCAGATACTTCCTGGAACGGGGTGCTGAGGCGGAGTGGCGTTTTGATTTCGTTTGGTTTCACTTTGGAAAACAGGATTCTTCAAAGCACCTAGTCACTTTGTCGTTTGTCATGGGTGCAGGGAAAAACCAAACCGAACAAGGATCCCGTGGACTCTCATGTCAGGTCTAATGAATTCGGAAGTCTGGATGGTTCCGACAGAGTTGACAGAGAGAGAGAGAGAGAGCTGACAAAGCGTTGACCGTGCTGACAGAGCGCTGACAGAGCTGACCTGACATTCAGGGGGGCGATGTGACCGCACACTTCAATCTGGGCGTCCTAAAGGTCAAGGGCAAGCTAGGCTTCCCGCAGGATGGGTCGATGATTGCCTGTGACGCGCGAGAAACGTGTAGCACGCGGCACGCAGACTGGTCAAAGATGAAGAAACTATATAATCATGTTTAGGGCGGGTGGATGGAAAGGGCAGTGAGGCTTTGCCGGGAACTCATATGGACAACTGGGTTTGATTGATCGCCGTCTTCAGTTCAGAAGGCTCCAATCTGAAGACCTCAGAGGATTGAGATGGCAGAAGAAGTATGAAAAGGGAGCACGGAAAGAGGGGAACCTTTGTCCCCGCACTCAAATCGTTCAGGACAAACGGGCCGCTGCAAAGCACTTTCGCATTGCAGGGGAGGCCAGGGCCTTTGAGGGCGCCCTTTCGCCTTCCCTTTTGCTGTTGAGACATATCGAGACCAGATACAGTAGAGGGTCAAAAGGCTGGTCCTTTCTTCACGTGAATGAGGCTGAAGAAAACATAAGAAAACAATCCCTGAAAGACCAGACAAGCATTTTGACACCACAATGGCCCGGTGACGTGGTTTCACGGGACTGGACACCCGACCTGCAGACGTCTCAGACGCCTGGGTGAAGGGGTGGTTTCACCCGATCTGAGGCCGGTCATCGGAATGCCCTCATGAACCTCTCCAGGATGTTCGCTACGGCCGGGTGGGTGTGGTGGGATGTGGCGGGTGCGGGAAACACGCCTCAGGATGTGCGAGAAGTCCGATCAGACTCACGGATTTATGGAGTACAACGATTTAGGGCTGGGTCAGGAGTTATAAGTCTTGCAGTTAGCCGCTAAGGCTCAGAGTCTTGACCACTGGATTTACTCCACCAAACAGCGCAGCTCGGACACTGTGTCGACTGGGTCACAAGACTCGCAGTGCGTCTCGATCGACACGAGGGAGATGGGATTCCACAAGACTCGCAGCAAGCGGCGCAGTGCGTCATCCAGGCGAAGCGTCGCGGTATGTTCGTACTTTTTTTCTTTTAATGTAATAGATAGCTGTGTTTTCCTTTTTATTGTTTGGATGTTATTTTGGTTCTTTTTTCTTTTGTGCCGTACAGAGACACGACGGCCCGGCCCGTCACGGGTGGGTTCCAAACTCTAGATCGACCCCGCAGTGGTGCTTGTCGAAAGACAGCATGGTGTCTTCATGAACTTGTTGCCGATGTGAACAGCTTCTTCCTACTAGCGTCTTGCCACTAGTAGCCATGGCCTCCAACCTACTTGCGATGGCCTCCGAGCATAGCGTGCTAATACTCCAGGCAGCTCAGAAAGGGGAAGACATGAAGGAGCTCGACCCGACATCGGGCAGTCTGCCTCTTTCTGACGTCGAAATCAATTGGTTGATGTTGGAACCTGGAAGACCTGGAAGACTTGCAAGGCCTGGAAGACATTGGGAAAATACATCTAGAAAAACCACGCCGTGCGTTTTTGCGTCCGGACCCCCCCCAAAATGGAGGCTCTTCACGTGGAATCGGAACTCTCGCCGTCGGTGCAGCTGTCACACTGTGAGAGGACCTGCTGGAGAAGATCCGCTCTGGCACGTTGGACCCAAACACCACCAATAAGTCTGGGTGCCCAGAGGGCAGCATGGGCCATGGTCAAAATGACAGGGAGAAGCCAAAACCTGGTGCCTGGTGCAATTTTTAACAGATTCTTGCAGGCATTTACAAGATTCTGGTTTTCTGGTGCCTTCGGGTTTGCTCAGTGCCATGTTTCCAGCGAGAGATTGCAACACACAGATCACACCTCCTTCCAACTTCCACATTTGTTGAACAGAGTGCAAGCCAGCGGCCGGCCGCATGATTGTATCCAGTTGTATCGAGCCCACACCTCATATGTCTGGGTGATGAAAGGAACTTTTTGCATCTTCCGATGTTCATCTTTTCTACTTGGAGTTGGATGTGATCTTCAGTGAACTCCCAACTTTGGCACTTTGGATGTTCGCCGTTTCTCACATCCACAGCTTCCTCCCGTTGGCGCCTCGGAAAAAAGAAGGTTACAAGAGGAGATGGACCGCATCCGCGAAAGGGCGCAGCAGATGCCTGGCTTCACGCAGGACCCCTGGAGAAACCTCTCGCGAGCGAGATCAGCCTGTTTTGTGGGGTCGAAGTGGTGTTGGAGATTCTGGTGAACTCTCACAGAAGGGGATGTTGAAAGAGAAAAAAAAGCCTGGTTCCCTTCCCTTCCACAGAGTTGCCTTCCACCAGGCGCATTTTTGGGGTGTCCACCAAGCCAGACCATCCATCTGTGGCTCGCAAAGAAAATGAGGTGAGAGGGCTGAGTGTGCAAGCCATGGAGACGGCGCGAAGTTCGAAAGCCACAGTTTACCTTGACCTGCTGATTGGAGGAAAGATGAAGGGACAAAAATAGTGTTTCTTCATGTTTCTTCATTATTCGTCTAGATGGCCGGCCCATGAAAGACAAAAGGACGGTCGAATTCTCTTGCAACAAGAGGCATCCTCGAAGTCGGTTGGTAGAGCCGTAGAATGTTTCACAGCCAACGAAGTTAGATAGTTCTCGTTGTGAAAATAAACTGGCTGGAGATGTGTTCGGACCGCTGTTTGGAATTTGCATCCTTGCCAAGTGAGCGAACAATGCCTGAGTGAATTTGTTGGCCTCCAAGCTGGCCGGAGCCTATCATCATGAAATGGCCACTTTGAGGAACAGAACAGTTTGGCATTGCATCCGACATAGATTGGTTCTATGCAGACACCCCCAGCTTGCAAGATGCAGAAGAAGCACATGCATGATGGGGAAAGATCGTTGATGGATTTTCTGCTGCCTTTGGGCCTTGCTTATTGTTGCAAAAGATGTGTCCTGTGTCCTGCAAGGATTCGGCTCAAGCTCTTTGCCCGCGGGCCTTTGCCTGGGCAAGAGTTTTGCCGAATCCGAGAGAACTTGGTTTCTCTCCAACTAACGTAGCACATTCACCATGATATGTACAATGTGTCTTGGCGCAACAGAATGCTCGAATATAGACCCTGGCACCCCACATGCCTTGCCGCGATCGAAGCCCAGGAAGCTAGTCTGGTTGCTGCCCTTGGTGGACTTGGCCTTTGCGGCCAAGGCTGGAGCATGCTTGGAGAACGAGTTTGAAACTTTCCACCTGTCATCATTGGTTTTTCAGTGTTATAGAATGTTATACACATTGAAAGCTCTTGGGGGGGGTCTATTGCTTTCTGGAGGATAAGCGTTTGGGTTTCCGAGAACGCGAGCGCTTGCAGGTCAGACCTCTGGCAGCAAACCTCTCGTTGGAGTTGTTGGTCCAGGACCATGACCTCTCTGTGCACCTGGCTGGGCGAGCATGAGTTTGTCAGAGAGTTCTCCCATCAATTCTTCTCTTTACTCGCAGAGTGATGCATGTGTGAGGACCCTGGCCTAGCCTCCAATAACACCCACCATTGGAGCCTGGGTGTCTTGGCCGCTCAAAGCCTTTGGGGTTTCACGCTTCCGCGAAGAGATCCTGCAGATTTGCCGGTCCCGGTCTGAGTGCGGAGCCGCACGACGGGTGTTCAGCTCAGGTGATAAGGAGGCCTTGGCCTGGGCCTTGGCTGCCTTGTCCTGGCGAAGTGGAGTGAGAATGATGCTGCAGTACGTGAGAATAACAAACGGCTCTCAGTTGGGGACCATGATCAAACATCATGCCCAGTGACCTTATGGCCTTGTGTGGCTCGTGGCGCAGGCCTTGCTGAATGCGACCTCAAATAGAACACAGATGAGACGTCTTGAAGAGACGAGCTCCTTGGCAGAAGTCAGCTATTCTGCAAGTCTTCTCGATTCTGCGCCATTTTCAAAGCTTGCTTCGCCGGCGTCCGAAGGCGAAGAGGAGGAAGAGGATGGGGTGTCCAAGAGTGGACTGGAATCGGCTGTGGACTGGACTGGAATCAAGTGAGTGACTTGAAAAGCGGCCAGGAGTATGACTATCCGTCTGGACACGACATGGATGAGTTCGATGACCCTTTGGACGATGCTGAGGACAGTTGGGATGTCCGTCACACACAGGCACTGAAAAAATCAAGAAGCATTCAGTTCCAACACTCGTGGGCAGTCGATTCAAGGTTTCACCCCCTACCACGCCCACCATCATTGTTCTGAAACAGTCGATTTAAGGCATTTTAGATACTGTACTTATAACTTATATAACTCCTATGAATGTGCTGTAAATCAAGCGCCGGTCGCACATGAAAGCCAGCATGGATACTTTCGACGAAAGCTGCAGCTGGAAATCAGCTGCTGAAAAAGGCATGTGGGACTGTGTGGGGGTCTCCTCCTTGATTCAGGACTCATCCTTTGCTTTGGAGCTACTCGGCTGAAGATCACCCGATCGAAGGAAGGGCCGCACACAGATGATGAGGATTTTTATGCTTCGTGAGGATTTTTACGAGTGGGATGAGGGGTGGGGTAGAACTCAGAACAAGTGGAAGATTCACTTGCCTTACTATAGCCTTTGCTCATAATATGTATATATATATAACTATACATACATATAATATATATATATATATATTTACAATTTGGAATCTTGATGCGGGTCGTCCATTTCTCGAGAAATGGAGTCGCTGTGTTGGTCGGAAGCTGCATCCAAACCACTGTGCGGAGGACAACCATGAGAGCGTTTGCTGGATGTCCAAGCAAACGGATTATAGACCGGAGATCGAGGGTCCCATGCGACTGTCAAGGCCACCTTCGGACCGCCAAGGCAAAGCTTTGGCAATGCCTCTCTGAACGCTTCGGAGGAGGTGGGACCGAGTCGGGGTCGTTGGCCTCAGTTGGTCGGATCGTTTGGAGGGACGCTTGTGGGCCTTTTTCTTAGGACGACCCAGCTTCAAAGGGACATAGCTTATGACGCGGTCTGAACTCCGGGATTGAATGGGACGTTGTTGGGAGCTTCCATATTCTTCATTGGTGGAGTCGAGCCCTACCAGTCCAAGGACCGAGTAAAACTTGCTTCCTGACATCGAGTACTGTTTTTGCATGACCGGACCCAGCGAAATACTGAGTTCCTTGACCCCTTCAATCATTCCGCCCCTCACCCGGCCGCAAGCTCCGCCTCGCCCGTCATCGGAACATTCGGCCGCCCGCGCCAGTCGGAATGGTGGTGCCGCGGGAACTGCCGCAAATGCAAAAGGTGGAACCGAAGGGTCTGGGCCTTGGACCGAAGGTGGGACAGGTAGGTATCCGCAGTTTGTGCCTTGGTACTAGAGTGAATGTTCCAACAGCAAAACCCACACGTGGCCATTTTGGCTACAAGCCCACCCGATCTACCCTCACACCCTAGTGCTGTTTTTCAGCGGGGGGAGAGAGGGTATGTCGGATCCGCGTGGCCGTCAAGCCAAGAGGACCGAGAGGGATGCACGCCTCAGTAGCTCTTCTCGAGAGAAGCTGGGAAAGACTGCGGGCATCATGGCGGTCGGGGCTTGGGCGACCAGAGTAGAGATAGCTAGGATGATAGAGCAGGGCGTTCCAAGTACAAAGATACTTGAGCTGATCCGAAAAGGTGAAGAGGGGGAGACCCCCCTTAGCACCACCGACGTACTGGAAGCTCCGTCCGGATCGGCCACTCCCGGGAGTTCAGTGTCTACCCCGGCGAGCTTGCAATATGAGTCCCCTTTCTCGGTGGCAGGAGGGAGAAAGCCCTTCCCTAGTGTGAAGGAGTCGAGGGAGCCGTCGATCCCCTCAGTCTCTCCTTCTGACTCGTTTGGAAGGTACAAATCGAGGGAAAAGCCTTGGGCCACTGGCGGAGAGCAGCAGGGAGTGTCCTTCAAGAAGAAGGCAACCCCTCCTCCGAGAATGAAAGAGGTCCATGAAACCCCAGAAGAAGAATGGGACTATGTACCATCATCGCCGCCAGAGGGTATTCCGGAAGGTCCTGGCGAGCCAAGTAAGGAGACTGGCTCCAAACCGGAGGGAGTGGATCCCCCTCCGCAATTCAGAAAAAAGGCTACACCTCCTCCAGACCTGGAAAAGGATTCAAGGGAGGAGAGAGGCGCCATCGGCTACATTCCGAAGAAGTTACCAGCTAGGTGGGGTCCCCTCGAAGCTGAGAAACAAGAGAATTTCCGTGGATTGGCAAGGACTCTCTTCGAGGACCTTGTTATCCTAAAGGTAGAAATGGACCTTGTCGATTCGGTTGTGGAGCAGGGCGAGATCAACGACGAGACTTTCTACATGTTGACAGAGCCTCGTTCAGCCGGGACGGGGTTGCGCTATGCTCGACTTATGAAGAAGTACCTAGCGGTTTTTGAATTCCACGGAGGACTGGAGGGAGCCACACCGGATCCGTTCGGTGTCCCATTCCTCCAGAAGTATTTGAGACAGCTGATGTTAGACGAGGTGGGCTTTCGTACACCACAAAGCCTTCTGTACGCTATCGAGCATTTCGCAGGCATTTTTGGTTTTGAATCACCGGGATCCAAGCACCCGAGGATCAGAAAGCTAGCAGCGGACTATGCTGCAAAGGCGCCGGAGCGCTCTCCAGCCCCACACTTCGAGGTGGACTTCCTGGATTACTTGGAGGGTGTGGTCCTCGACGATAAAAAGGATTTACAGACTCGGGTCGCTTGTGGGAAGCTCAGGCTGTGTATTCAAGCAAGCGTCCGCCACAGTGATCTGGCAGGTACCGCCATGGAGGATATTCAATGGTGCCGGCCAGTGGGAAGGCCGGAGGTCCTTGGCCTTCGCGCTAGAGCGGCCAAGACAAAGTCGGGGCCGAGGCCGTGGGCAGCAGCCTGGGTGGGAGTAAACCCATCCAGGGATTCTGGGTCGACCTGCTTATCAAGATGCATAGGCCTCGCTGGAGAGAGCATCGCTTTGTGGGATGTGCCTCCGACGGTCAGGGCGGCTTCAGGTTGTGTCCTCCCCTGATCACCGAAGACAACCTAGTTGTGAGGAAATGTCTTTCTGATGACAGGGAAGCTGGCGTAAAGACCCCTCTCGATGAGAGAGCCATTATGAAGCTGAGATGGCACTCATGCAAGAACACCTCACCAACTTACATGACGCATTTCGGTATTTCCCCTCGTACCGTACGGCATCAGGGTGCTTGGAAGAAACCTTCCCAAGCGATGCCAGATCTGTACCTGAGGGAGGCACAGACTTTGGTTATAACAGCTCAATGGCAGGTATTGGATCAGATCCGAAGAGGAGCAACAGTGCAATCCCTCACCGGAGAAGATCTCGACTTCAGGCCAATGCGACCGGATTGGAGCACAGTGTCGGATCTCGTCCTGGCGGGAAAAGTCCCCAGGAACTCAGATGGCGAGTCGCAGGTAGAAGCCATGCGGAAAGCTGTAATCTGTGCCAATGACCCGGACAAGTTTCATCCGCAGGTGCAGATGCAGCGAGCGCCCGTGTCCGTGGACCTTCGAGAGGAATTTCGCGGAGCTGAAGAGAGCGACGAAGAGAGCTTAAAAAGGGTGGTTAGCAGGGAGGCAGAATCAATCGCCTCTATGGGAGACGCACGATCTGAGTTGGCATCCGTCACATCGCAAGCGGAGGACTCGGACGACTCTTCGCTAAACCCCGAAGCTCATGATGTGGAGTTCTACCCAACCTACATTCAGCTTGCAACTGGACATGGGAAGGTGCACAAACCTGGACCTGGTGAAAGGGAGGATTTCCCCTTTTGCAATGCCAATGGAAAGCGCTTCGTCAGGTTGGCACTGGATGAGGACTGGGGAACTGACTACTCGCTCTGCGAGCGCTGCTTTGGGAAGGCAGGTGGCTGTCCCTTGCTGTGCGACTACAAGCAGGAGAAGGATGGTTACATGATCAGGTGCTCGAGACGATGCAACCCGAGTGCAGTGGCGGACCACAAAGACCCATCCGACCGAGGTTTTGTACTGAGAGCAAAGGAGCATAGGTGCATGTTTCATAGTCTTCTGAAAGAGGACGTCTCACCCTGGAAGCTGGACGCTTGACGATCCGATTGCACATTTTAAAATTAAAGCGCCGGTCGATTTTTATAGAACCATGTAGCCATGCGGCCCGGTTCCATGAGGTCGTTCCCATGAACTGATCGAAGTGGAATTTTGCTACGCTTCGATCTTATGGGTTGTCCCATGAAGTAAACTGGAGGACCACCAGGGGAATCCACGACCATTCGGTTGGACGTGATCGTAGGCACACCTAATGTGAGACGTGTGTGCAAGATGTCCCTCGGTGAGCCATTTTCGTGGCCCAAACCGGGCCGTACACCCAGCGCCCCGACCGGGAGGCCAAGAGTCACAAAGGTCCGGATGTCAGACGCTAAGTCTTCCCTCGCCTTTGGTCGTGCTGCATCGAGCTTCGATGTACACGAGTCTGACTACTTGGTGCTGACCCTAGATGGGATCACCACGTACGAAGCCATGGCTTTTCGCTTTCCGACCGCGTCAGACTTTGACGAGTATCTCCGAAAGCACTTGCGCGCCCGTGCGGCCTACAGAGATCCCAGTGGAACAGTTACGGGATTCTCAAAGAGTGGGGCAGAAGCATGGGAGACGTACAAGTCTTCGGAAGATGTAGGATGCCTGAGGAAGCTTTGGACCCTGGCCACACAGGTCTCCAAGAGGAACCTGGAGCGCATGGCCGGAGACGATGGAGAGACTAAACAAAGGTCACAGTCGCCATCAGTCAAGAGCTGGAAGACAAGGCAGTGAACAATGCCATGCCACCTCCAGCATCGGACAGGGAGCGCCCTTCCCTATTTACGCTCACGAAGGTGCAGAACAACTTTTGTCCAGGAGGAGCCTTCCAACATCTCCCATGGGAGAGTTTCGTGAACATGGAGTGCGAGTCCAGGTTGAGACGGGCAGGGAAGCTCCCTAAGGACAAGAAAGAGTTGATCCTGGACGACAAAAAGATCACCCTGAACAGTCGGGACGAAGACTTTCCGGAGCCGCCAAGAATCTACGACTTGCTGACCTTGAAGGACACGATGGATCTACGCAGCAGGGCCTTCCAAATGCTCGATGTTGCCACCTATCAGGACTTTGAGCAATACAACAATCGAGTTATGGGCTTGCTGAGGGCGACGGTGGCTGAAGGCATGAGGGCCCCAACAATCAATGAGGCCCGTAGGTGCGATAGGGAGATCATGACGGAGATTCTGAGGGTCGTGGCGAAAGGCTCAGGCACGGTGGGTGCAGGTCTGAGGTTCTTCGCCCAGGCCGGAGAAGGTGAAGGGTTGTGGCGTCTATTGGACGCCCAGCCCGAACACCTGCCGGATCAAGGGAAGGAGAAAGACTCAGATGCAAAGAAGTCACACCGTGAGCGATCCCCATTGAAGAGGAAGAGAGGCATGGAAGAGGACAAGGGCGTGCACGAGACTCCAGAGAAGGCCCGCCTGTGCATGATTTGCAAGAAGCGTCATGAACCTCGATGCCCAATTCCTCCTGGATGGAGGAAGGAACAGAAAGAGGCCCAGAAAGCCAAGGCAGCCGCAGCGAAGGCAAAGGCAGGAGCCTTTTCCGGAAAGAAGGGCTCAGAATAGGGAGCCGCTCGTCCCACAGCGGATGCAGCCGCCGCAGTCGGGATGAGAGCATCTTCCAGAAAAAGGGTTGCGGAGCCTTGGGATCTTCTTCGTGGGAAGGACGTTTTTAGAGACGAATCCGAACTGAAGGTCAGTTTGAGGAATGCGAAGGTTGCGCACTGGGCCCCTAATTGTTGCACTTTTTCGAGGGCAAGGGAGAAACCCATTCCGGGAGTCGCAAATGCTCCAAAACCACTCCGAAGTGTGGAGCACCCCCGAGGCATTCCCGAAGTCGTATCCAAACTCCCTCAAGCAAAGAGAAGGAAACTCGACCTTGATACCAAGATGGCTGATATGGCCGCTGAACATTGCCTTGTTGCCCATCGCGAAGGTCGCTACATCGCGAAGGTCGCTACTTCAGCTTGGAGCACCCGCGGAACAGCTTGGCAAGAGGCCTAGAGTCTTGGAGCCGACTGGAGGGGGAGGAGGGAGTTCGATCTACTAGCTATCATGCTTGCATGTTTCACCCCTGTAGGCGTAGGAAATCCCAGATCTTAATTCATAACATCCCTGGCTTGGAGCATTTTGCGGGGCTCGAGTGTCGATCTAGTTCGCTTTGCTCCAAAACAGGAACCCCACATCAATCCTGGAAACCGGAGACGAAGGAAGGGAAAGTGCTTTCATTCGCCACCTCCGAAGAGCGTGAATACCCTGAAGAATTTTGCAGAGCATACGCACACGGACTGGCTAGAGCTTTAGGGAAGGCCGAAGCCTCATTTGTGGAAATCTTTAGTGGGCCCAATGCCCCCCTCTCTTTTGCCGTTGCCAGGGTCTGGAACACAACCGTGGAGGGGGGGGAGAGGGCAACTCTGTTCTCGAACTTCGAGTATTCAGAAGCTACTACCCTGAGTTCAGGCCTACCCCAGGCGCCGGAGCATTCGCCTGGTTTCGGGGATAGACCTGAACAAGGAGTCAAGAGGCGCAGGGCGCTGGGTGCGTCAGGCGACCCTATTCCCTCAGATTCGTACGAGAGCGAACAGGTCGCACAGCCTCTAGAAAGTATTTATAGAAGGCATGCTACAGAGGCCGGGAGTCAGCCCAGCTTTGGGAAGAGATTACAACTCATTCCAGACGGCTTGTATGACCCAGGGAGACACCTGGAGTTGGCCAAAGCTTTGGCTCATCCTTTTGATTCCATATCCACTTTGAAGGTAGCGCATGCTGAAGCGTTGGAGAAGATCAAAGACTCTCAGACGCTAATCGCAAGACGTTTAGACTCCCTCAAGATGCTTCGATCTTGGCGTGAAGAGCTCAAAGAGTCCCAGACTCGAGCGAATAAGTCAGCAGCGTGGACTGCGAAAAAGTTGGGTACAAAGATCAATACCTTGCTCATGGAGAGGGTGCAGACACTCCTGGACATTGAGGATAAATTAGTCCCCAACCTTTGCCTACAAGGCATGCGTATTACCGGACGAGCTCATGAATCCCCATTCTTCGAGAAACTAGAGGTGCCCCCGATAATGTCTTGGGAGACCTTCCTCAGTGGGAGTGAAGAGAGATCACGTGCAATGATCCGAAGGGTTGAGTATATGGCGCGTCGCGGTTCCCCACAACTGGCCCAAGCCATCTGGGAGAAGACGCAAAAAGAAGTGCAAGCTGGTACAATGGGACCAGCCATGACTTTGGAGGAGGCGCAGTCGTTGTATCCTGGACGCACCCAGGTGACCCCCAGCTTTGGCCTGGAGCAGGGGATGGACGCGAGCGGTGTCCCCAAGTTTAGGAGGATAGACGATCACTCAGCATCAGGAGTGAACATGGCTGCATATAGGTTGCAAAAGGTGCCCATGGCAATGGTCGATTACGTTGGCGTTCTTGTTAGAGCACTCGCACAGCAGACAGACCAGATTAGCTTAGCCACAGAGGACATGAAGATCGCCTACAGGCAGATACCCTTGGCGCCTGCTGATGTACGCTTCGCTTTAACGGCTGTGTATAACCCAATCAGCAGCCAGGTCGATCTGCGCGAGATGTACGGCCAGCCATTTGGAGCAGGGCATGCCGTGCCAAACTTTTGCAGGGTGGCCGAATGGATAGCACGCTTGCTTCAGAAGTTGTACTACATCCTTGTCGATCATTTCTTTGATGATTTCTTTGTAGTGGAACCCGAGATCACCATTCAGTCTGCAATAGCCTGCTTAAAGGAGAGCTTTAATTTGCTTGGGTTCCAGTTGGACCCTGAGAAGTCTCAACCACCATCGGAGCTCTGCAGCATTTTGGGGGTAGTCTTTTGTACCCAAACTCTGCACCAGCAGCGCATTATTACAGTGCACGCTAAAGAAACACGGGTCGCTTTTCTGAAAGAAGCAATAGAGAAGATTTTTCAGAATCGACGGATCTCCCCTCACCAGGCAGCCAGCCTGGTCGGGAAGTTTCAGTTTTTGTGCTCTACGCTTTTTGGAAAAGTGGGCCGTTGCTGCACAGGAGCCCTGCGCAGAAGGCAATATGCCTCCTATCCAACTGAGATTCTCACCCAGGAGTTGGAACAAGCTCTGGAGTTGATGAGAAAATTTCTCTCTGAAAGTCCTTCTGGAGAACTTCGCATACATCATCCTGCTCCCGTCTTGCTTTATACAGATGCTTCCGACGTCCCGGAAAGAATACCCCAACGAGCCGTTGGCGCATACATCTTTGATCCTTTAGACAAATTTCAAGCCTACACAGCTTGGGCCGTGCCCGACTCCGTCGTCGCAAGATGGTTGCAGCGGAAGTCTTTTATGGGCCAGCTCGAACTGCTTGCCGCACCGATAGCTTTTCAGACATGGGCTACTCGTCTCCAAAGTCGTTCGATCATCCACTTTTGCGATAATGACAGTGCCTCCGCGAGTCTAATTAAAGGCTACTCACCTAAGGTGGATAGCAGTTCCCTCGTCGGAGACTTTTGGTTGCTTGTTGCTCGCTCGCGCGCTTTTGTCTATATCGATCGAGTGGAGAGTAAATCGAACTTGGCTGACGGCCCTTCTCGTTTTTCTTTTTCAGAGGTCTTGAGCCTGGGGGCCGCTTGGACTCCTCCTGATCCCGGCGTGTTGGGGGGGCCCTCCATTCTTCCTGCATCCCAGTTCGGCGCTCTGGAGCAGCGGGGGGAGAGTTAGTCGACAACAATACCCCAGAGCACCTCTCAGATACCTTCGGGCAGCGGGGGGAGAATGCTCTGGGTGTCGACTTCTCGGGTGAGAACCTCATAGGTGTAGGTCCACAGCAATTGCGCATGGGATTGAGATGTGGATA